TAAGCAGTTTTAGATAGCTTTTGTTTCAATGTCCAGAAGTGTATCCGTATTTAAGGCTAACATAAAATACAGATATTGTATAACCTTACAAGTTTTCTTCTTTCCATCTTTTCTTTCATTATCTTGCTGATCAGTTTATTTACAGAAGTGCCAAGCCTCCTCCATTGGGTTTCCTAAGGAAATGTGAAGAGGGTGGAGGATATTAAGGCATAGGTGGGTGAGCATCAACCAGTGTTTCATGGAAACCTGGAAATATATGAAATATCTGGAGCTGTGCAATGAAGGGACAGGTATGTCACTTTGCATCAGAAAGCAGTTGTATTGAGCTGGGAGGTAGGATGGAGGGGAGTCTCACATATAGGTTCCACTTTCAACAGAGCAGCTTAATTTAAGAATGGATATTCTGTTGTGAGAGCATCTCCGTGTGCCTCTCCCCGTGGTGGCTCAGCAGCTCATCAGCTGCTGTTCTGTGAGGTACCCTGGTTAAGAATAGCATCTTCTCTGCTGGATCAGAGCAGGGAAAGAGCCAATATAATCCTTGTGAGGTGTAAAGGAATGTCAATGATAGCCAAGTAGGACAAATTAGGGCTGCTGAGATCCTTGGTGGGGATGGAAATGAGTAATAGCCACCCCAGTTAATGCCAAGGAGGCTTGAATTCACCTTTGAGGCTGCTGAGAGTCTGAGCAGTTCATTGCTTGGATTTGCCTTGGGGCCATGCTCTTTTTTAGCTCACTGGTAGTCATTTTGGCTTTCAGAGCTCCTGTTCTGAGTCATTAATTTGGCCCTGGTTTGTACAGATCCCTTTGTCTCACAGTGAGCTTGCTCAGCATCGCTGGGTAGGAGCAAGCAAGTGTCCTTGTGGTTGGTGTGAGTCAGAACTGAGGAACAGACTGTGCTTGAGCTCCCAAGCAAAGCTTTAGCACAGGGAATGGGCCCATCCATCCATCCATCCATCCAGGACCAGGAGCTGGGTCCATCCCACTTACTTGGGATTGTGCTGTAGGCCTGAGCTTCACCTCTGGCAGTTGTCTCCAGTTGTAGCTGCACTGCAATATTCTCTTTGTGAATGTGTTTGAAGGAAGCTGAAAATCATTTAATCCTGCCTTTTACATTCAGTCTGGGTTTTTCCCCCTGGAATTAAAATACTGTGCTGGCATGGTATTATTGAACACACAATTAAAAGTAATTTTCAGTTTGCCTGTATCATCTTTATTTTGAACCTAGTAAGAGGCTCTTGGTTGTAAAGTTTTATGATAAGTGATGAGATAAAAGATGCTGTCTGGCTGTGCCAGTGTATAGTGCACATGTATTGTGTGTGAGCATCTTGGGAATGTGTGCTCAGGTTTGCTGGGGCAGGGGGTTGCAGAAACTGAGCTGTACAGGGCTACCAGATGCTGCAGGATAAAAATTCTAGTTGAACAACTGGTGTAGTGAAAGAAAACGTCCTCATTTTTTCTTGGAAGTGTTTTTTTAAAAACCATGTCTTTCTCTGATGCTGGTGTTTTGGTCCTGAGCCTGGTCAAGTTCTCCCCATGCCACCTCTGAATCTAGAGCCCAAAGCAACCAGCTGTGCATTGTAATTGCCTGAAGTAATGTCGTGTATCAACAGAGCTGAACTATAAATAACTTTGATTGGGCACAGAAAGTTCAGTAAGTTAAAGAATAGTGCTTTTGAGGCATTTTGTCATCCCAAAATGGAGACTGCCACATGGATTAATCATCGTCTGCATGTTGTGCAGTTTACAGCCGCTTAACAATAGTTAGAAATAAACTTTATATTCACCCTTGAGCACTGCAGTAAGCTTTCCTTTTCTGAGGTGCTCTTATAGAGCATAGGACAAAATATGATTCTTGGGTACGAAGGAGACATAGTTCTACTTCTGCAGGAAGAAAGTCATGGAACTGTAAAGCTACTGAAATCAGTGTCTATTTGTCCTGAAGAGCTGGGCTACCTGCCTGATGTTTTAGCCTAAATAGCAGTTTTGTAGCTTAATTAGATTTCAGATGCAAATCTCTGAACATTATTTGATTTCCTTGTCCTTCACTCCTTCCTCAAGGGGTCATGGATACTCACAGGATAAAGATGATCCCTCAGATGTCACTGAAAATATTGCAGGAAGTGTCTTGTTCTCCTCAGCTTCTCTGAGCTGTGAACAGATATGTTTGCTTACTTCTTTTTTGACCCGCCAGAGATGTAGAATGATGTGGTTTCCCAAGGGGAAATTTTTTTTCAAAACAAGCAGAAACAGGTTGTTGAAGCAGGTCTTTAAATTCAGGTGGAATAAACATCCTTAAGTCAGTGACTGCCCCGTGTCTTCACTTCTGATCACTTGATTTTCTGGTTGACTGGCACTTTGCTATGGATCTGAGATGCATGTTGTTAAATATCTCCAGATTGCAGAGACAACAGCCTAACTTCACAGGGAAGGAGACAGTAAAAATGCTCAAAGGACGCAGGTTCAGAGCTGCCTGATTAAACCTAGCCTAAGAGAATTTTGTCCCTTTCTCATGAGTGGTCTACCTTTGTCTGCTATGGTGACTTTTCTTCCTTTCAGCAGATTGTCTTGTAGCTTGCCTTGCCAGGGAATTAAAGCTTCAGGCTGCCATTTGTGTGGAGTTATTAAATATGGATGACCCAAGCAAGGGGACTCTTGCATATTAAACCTGGTATTCTGGTCTTCTCTCTTTCTGATATTTCTGTTCTTTCAGATATGCTAAATATACCTTTGAAGTTTCTTTTCTTCTTGTGTAAAATACACTTTCGTAGGTGAATCTTGCAGCTGGAATTAGGAGATACTGGTTCCAGCTGGACAGAGCAGGCCATGTAATCATTCTTTGCCTCAGTTTCCCCATGTGTAATGTTGAAGCAGTAATATCCACGCTCCTCTGTGCAGCTCTTTGAGCTTTCTTCTGGGTGACTAAGGAGCCATAATGTAGTCTAGACCTTCTGCAGTCTGGTGGGAAGCACTGCTAGAAGGTATCTTGTGTGGGGAGGCTGTGGATCCATAGGAAAGGAGTGGAGGCTTTCCTGTTTCTGATCAGGAATTCATGGGAAGAAATATTCCTGCATGCTAAAGACATCAGACCAGCTGTGTGAGTGCAGGGAGTCCTGCCAGTCCTGCTTGCAGAGAGTCAGAAAATGTGTGTCTTAAGCAGATCTGATGATTATTACCTGTGGTCTGTATGCCAGTGGCCCTTAAGTGTAAAGCCTTGATTTTTCAGGTAGTTCATGTAGCTGGCAGACTGATAGTTTAGCTGCCCAGACATGAATGACTGCAAGATGTGCAAGAAATTCATCTGGCCAAAATCTCATTTCATTAAAGTCTTTCTTGATACAAGGATATCAGGAAGGCTGGACTTTTCTAGCCTCCCTTTTGGGGTAAAAAGGTTGGTGTAGGTTTTATGTTCCACTAGACTTGATACAAGGATATCAGGAAGGCTGGACTTTTCTAGCCTCCCTTTTGGGGTAAAGTGTGTAGGTTTTATGTTCCACTAGATCTGGGGAGCTGTGGAGGATCAGGAGGAAGGAGATTGTAAGATATGGAAATCTCTTGGAGGTTTATGTAGCAGCCCTTCCCCTGGTTGGGCCAGGAAGTAAGGGATGGGTGTCTGTCCTGCAGGATGACTGTAAATCTGATGGTAGAAACATTTGGAATAGGGGAGTTAAAATGCAAGCTGTTGTCAAAACTAAAATGTTTTGTGCTAAGGTGCAACAGGCTGGCAATTATTTCCCTTCGTAAGGGCTGAGTTTCTAAGACGTGATCAATTTTGGCATCTCTTGGAAGGAGATCTGATAGGTTTTACCTGTGCAGAACACAGGGATTGTCTGCTCAGTTCAGAGGTGATCCCAGAGCTAGACGAAAGATGGAATATTGAGTTTTGCTCTGATAGGCCTCCAAGAAGCCATATAAATCTCTTTAAAACCCCAAGTAACCTACCAAAAAACTGTCCAAGAGAGATTGCTTCAAGACAGCACAGTTATAAAATACTGTGAAAGGCTGAATAGGGCTTTTCCCCCTCTTGTGATATTTGGAGTTGAACTTTATATACATCATTTTGAACATGGCCTTTAAAGTAACTTTCTATTCTGGCCCTGTCATTTTTAGGGCTGTAAAGGAAAACTAAAATGCCAGGGAAGGAGAGGAAATGAAAATGAAGAGTGGGGCTAAAGAGTAGGTTTTGATCATCTTTGCAAGAAGTGGCATCATCTGTGAGAACAAAAGTCTTCAATTGCTGCAACTGGAGACAGCTTTTAGTCTCCAATTCTATTTTGCCCTGAGCCAGCCAGCCAAATAAAAACAGCAACATAAATCACTGCTGGCAGAACTTAGCAGTTATGCAACGTCCAGTGCACCACATGCCTATTTTTAGATCAGTTTTACACTAGCAGAATTCACTTTATGAAATCTAAAAAGAATGTCTGTTCAGAGGCTGGGGAATAAAGACGGTATTTAGAAAGTGCAAAATGTAAAAACACTTAGTACAAGGATGCTCCAGCAAGCCCTGCTTTGGCAATACTGACATCCTTTCAAAAATGTTGGCTCAATCAGGCATGCTAATGAAGGCTAGGGGTTTTTTCATCAATAGCCCCTTGAATTTCTAATGTGCAATTGCTGTTTGAATGGTTAGCTGTGCTCCCTTTACCCAAACAGCTGAACTCACATATAGTGCTCGTCATCCAAGACCAGATGTGCCTCTTCTCTCCTTTACATTTGACTTAATTCTCTTACTATTGTAATTCTGCATTAGTTTGTACTGTGTATAATCTTGTTCCCAAAGCTTTTTGTTCAGATTCAGAACAGGCAGTGATTGGGAAAAGTTTGACCTTTCAGCCTTTAGATAGTCTAGCAGATGAAACACAGTCTGCATAGTTAATGTATCTCTGGAATTTCTGGGATTTCTGCCATAATTTTGACAGAAATAATGTCTTGAAGCAGATTAGTATTCTGACTGTTGCATGATGTGTATTGACCTTTTTTCCCCCAAACCTTTCTTCTAGGTGACAACCTCGATGCCATCCATGACATAACCGTGGCGTACCCCCAAAACATTCCTCAGACAGAGAAGCACCTTTTGAAAGGAAACTTCCCAAAGGAGATTCACTTCCACGTCCAGAGATACCCCATAGAGACAGTGCCCACTTCCAAGGAGGAGCTGCAGCTTTGGTGCCGGCAGCGCTGGGAAGAGAAGGAGGAGAGACTGCGGCGCTTCTACGAAGGTGGAAGATGCTTCAGTGCAGCTGGGCAAAGCATTGTCCCACCCTGCAAATCCGAGCTCAGGGTCCTGGCGGTGAAGTGCGCCTCCCTCCTCTACTGGACGGTGTTCCCGCTGGGAATGCTGGTGCTGCTCTACCTGTACAGCTTTGCACAGTGGTACTTTGCAGCCATGATCGTCTTTTTCGTTGTGCAGCAAAAGATATTTGGTGGGCTGGAACTCATTGAACTTGCTTGCCATCAGTATTTTAAAAAGCAACAGAAATTTCATGATGCGAAAGTAAAAATCAATTAGTTCTGGGGTAGAGGAAGGGTAGTTTTGGGATGCCCTGCAAATTTTATGCACAGGGAACAATTTTTGCATGAGAAGTGTCTTTTACTATCGCCATTGTTAGACGTTTGCACATGATTCTGTGAAGAGAAGGAAAAATGTTAGTTATTGCTACGCGTGAAAATGGTAGTTTTTAATCTCTGAATGTAATTTCAACATTGCTCTCACAAGCAGCTAGCAGCTGCATTCTGCTGTCATTGAGAAACAAATTGCTGGATTACTGAACAATCATAAGGACATTAATAAATGTGACATGCACTGAAGTTTCATGTAGAAACCCAAACAGTTCAGCAAAGAGAGGCAGATGTATGATTTCTTTAGAGTCACGTTGGTGTGAAGTTAGCACCGAATTTGGAAAACTGGTAAGTTTTGATGGTTGATGAAAGTTGAAGGAGAAGTTGTTCTGTTTCTTTTTTCTATTTAAAATACTCAAACTTATTTTGTAGTAATATTTTTGCATAAGCTTTTCCAAACACTACTGAACCTACCACCTATTCAACTATTCTGGCTTGGTCACTCAGGAGGATTTTTATGCCTTGCAGTCTTGTGTCATACTGCAGAAAGCAGTACAGTGCTCACTCTGCCTCCAGTGCTGATTATTTAATAGACCTGTGCAGTTAAGTTTTTATCTCTCACTGTTTCATACTGTTCTAGTCTCCCTGTTAGCTGTGGGAGACTTGTTCCTACTGTAGTATGCAGAGCTGCAGGATAGAGGAGCTGGTTTTTTGTTGGTTTATTGGTATTTTTTTCTCACAGAGGCAAAAATAGCTGTTTGTCTCTGAGTAACTGGAAAATGCTTATAAAAAAGGCTTCCTTGTATCCTCGTAGACATTCTTTGGTTGAAAACATTTTATTTAGTTTTCAAAGTAGGAAAGATAGGTTTTTTCTTTTTTAAATTTTTCGTAGTATTAATTTTGGTTTTCACGTTGCTTCCTTTGGCATTTCATGTGTCCATGTACACAAGCAGGACGACTGCTTGTTTCTTGCATGTCAGGCAGACCTGTTGAAGTGCAACAGTTCTCTCCTTGGTGGTACAAGAGGTGGGTTTGAGTTTTAGACTTAGCCCAGGGAAGAGCTGGGTGTGAGTTTTTTGGACTTAGCACAGGGAAGAGCTGCATCTTCCCTTTGCATACTGGCTTTGTTTCCTGATGACATCCTTACTTTCTCAACCTCCTTCACGACTTTTGGTACTTTCCCTTATTTTCATGACATTCACAAAACCTGAAGTCTTAAACTCAGACAAGGCACTTTGAAGTGCATCCCTTGTCATATATAATAAAAGTAATGTTCATGCTCACCTAGAAAAAGACAAATACATTGCCAGCACTTTGGAGATACTTCAAGTCTTCAGGTTGAATTGTTTTGCAACCTCCAAAATTTTAGACAAATTGAACAATTGCATTGCTGCAAAACCTTCCTGACTTACTAAATATTTGTTTTTTATTGCATGAGGGCTTGTTTGAGCTGGACCCAGATGGCCTGGCTCTGTTTGGTGGGTGGTGTTGATGTGAAATGTGAAAGTCCAGAGTGCAAACTGTACCTCGTACTGTGCTGCGTGTCTCAAGTGTTGGGCTGGCATGGTGGACACACCTGTTTGCTCCTAAATTACAACACTAAGCATGTTGTCTAATGAGTTTGTTTTAAAGACCATTTTTTGGACAAATCACCAGCCTCTATTCAACTGTCCCTTGCAAGGTGACAGGTCTTTTTTAATCTGTGCTTATAATAACTAATTGTTTATTATGCGGAAAGTACTTGAAGCCATCTGGTTTACTCCAAATTTTTAAATCCCTTTTTTCTTAAAAATAAATGAAAGTAGGTTTATATTTAGAGTTATATTGCTTAATGATTTTTTCGTGTTTGTATTTGTGTACCTGACAACCGGTGTTGCATTGTCATGAGTGGAAGGAGGTCTTTTTTTAAAGCAGTTCTGTGATCTCACAGGCATGGTTGCAGCTTAAACTTCCATAGCCTGTCTTCTCTTCAACCAATACCCTGCACATTCAGGTAACCCACTGCAAGGGAAAATCTGAAAACCTCATTTGTGGTTAATGCAGAAGAGACCTAAAAGGCTTCTTCCAGTCTGTCCTGAGCCACAGCTGTGCTTTCATACCAGGAGTAACCGTAGCCAGCCTACTCCAATAGCCTTAACATCATCTTCAGGAGTGACTTCAGAGGACAGGTTCCATGTGTTGGTGACATAAAACACCAGCTATGCTTTTCTTGGTCGTTCAGAGAACTTTGTGGTGTCATCAGATGTCCAGGAACATCAGTGTGAGTCTTGGTCATGGCACGGTTCAGGATTTATGTCTCTGTGTAATTCAAGTTGGGCTCTGAAAATGAAGTCAATGCAATCCATCACTGACCCTTACAAGGGATTTCTTCCCAGCTGGAGTCAAACATGTAGCCTACTGTAATGTGGTAAAAACATCCTGCAAAATCTGTCATTCATCTTCCTCCCTCATGTGTTTGGATCAAAGAGGAAGAATAATCTGCTTTTCAGCTGGTAATGTCATATTTGCAATGCCCAACTCCATGATGCAGAGTGAGTGGTAAGTGAAGAATCCTCCTCCATATGTTTGATGTAGATGTTTAGATTATGTGCATCATTTTTCAGATCAATTAGAAATGCAAGATGGGAAAAATGTTGAATAAAAACTAAAAGTTTTATGGATGGAGAAGCTTCTTTATTTAAAAAGTGATTAAGGAATGGGGGAAGGATTTTTCTGTGAATGCTTTTTTCCCCTCTGGTGAAAATGTAGCTTTTTAATCAAAAGGTTCTGATGCACAGATTTCTTGGAGACTACTTTGTTTCTAGCCTGTCTCCCTTTTCAAAGATCACAAAGTTGGCATTTAAGGACGTGGTTTAGTGGTGGACTTGGCAGTGCTGGGTTTACAGTTAGACTCAGTGATCTGTTCTCACCTAAATCATTCTGTGATTCTGTGCTGGGTGAATCACTTGGATAATTCTTCAGTGCTGTTGGGATAAAGGTGCTAGTCCTCCAGGAGTCCCATAGCCCTCTTCCATGGGACATGGATTGGCTCTGGGTCTCATCTCAGTAGCAGGTTTGTCCCAGTTCACCTCCTCTTGTAGTGCCAGCAGCTGCCCCTCTGAGCTCTGTCTGCAGGGCCTGCAGTCTTGCTGGGTCTTGCATGCATTGTTTGGGATCAATGCTCTGCTTTAAGGAGGCTGCTCCCCTTTGCTCAATCAAATGTTTCCTCATCAGCATCAGGGGGTTTCTTTCTCTCGCTCAGAACAGAAGGTTGAAACCGTGCTGTCTCTGTGTCATCAGGCTCATCTGGGTAGCGGGATGTCAGACCAAGACGTTTTTCTCTTGACTTCAAAGCTGCAAGGCCCAAAGCTGGTCTGTAAGGTGTTGTCTTAATCATAGGAAATGTAGTTCCTAGTTTTGTGCATTTCATCAATCGGTGTTGTTTAAAAAAGATCTGTGTTTTGATAACTTGATTTTATATGTGCACTGTGTGAAAGGAAACACCAGGACACTACAAACCTACAGAAAGCCTTAGTTTTCAGATTTCACTGATGATATTATTAGAATGTTTTAACCATGTACCAGTTACTCTACAGCAACAATAAAGACCTGAAGCATTGCATGTGTTTAATTTTGCTGTTTTCTTTTTACTGCACTGTAAGGAACAAACCTTGTCTCCAATGACATGGCTGGCTGGCTCGGGCAGACTGTTGTCTGTTTCCATGCTTGACTTGTGGATTGTGGCTGTTGAGGGAGGAGAACCCTCCATCTCTCCATGGGAGGTTGGAAAGGGGTGTCTGGCTCTACCCTCCCTTCCAGCTTCTTCATGTGAAGAAGGCACAGAAACCTTTGAGTGTGCAAGAACTACAGCTCAGCTTTAGCCTTGCTGTGCTGCTTAACCAGGATTGCTGAAGAATAACCTGTCTTGGGTAGTGATAGGTGGGTAAGTCCTCCATTTTAGCTGTATTCTGTTACCTCCCATGTAATTACTGACACAAGAAACCATCTATGGCAAGTTTCACATAGGTTCACATTCTTAGAGGACCTTTCTTTAGTGTAACTTCAGGTCACAGGCCCCTTGATTTCTCTCTCCATTGCTTGAGTGTTAATCCAGTGTGGAGGCACAAGGGCTGTGTTTCTCAGCTCCTCATTACCCAATGAGAATAGCCTGGCTGTGCTGGCTCTAGGGAAATACCCACATCTCCAGCAGGTATCCTGTGGCAGAAAGAAGAAACAGAGACCCCAGTAGCAGTTTCTGCAGCTGGAAATTATAATTGGCCATGTCTGTGTATGCTCAGGGCATTCAAATCCTTTCCCCAAAGTCAAAATGAGTGGCTTGTCACTCTGGAAAGGTGGTTGTCTCTTCCTCTTGGTTTCCTCACAAATATGCAATGAAAAAATGTATTTCTCTGTCTTACCTGTCCTTACAGGAAACATTAGTAATGGAGGCCAAAGCTTTCACCCTCCAGCTGCCCCAAACCCCACCTTTGCAGCTCCATATAATGGGGGAAAATGGTCTTATTTCCTGAGGAAATAGGAACTTTGAATTACACTGCATGCAATCTCAACCAGACAATGCTCCTGGGAGCAGGGAGCATGGTCTGTGCTTATAACATGGTTGGGTTACTGTCACCCTGGAGGGTTTGGGCTGAAGCATGTGAGGGAGAGGGAGTTTGCCTCTGTCCTTGCTGGGCAAGCAGTTTTATCAAGAGCTGATATCAGGCCCTGAGTTTTTAAGTAGATGTCTTTGTTCTGTTACATAGGGCCTCCAGATGGTTTGTCATCCCCTTTTCTCAAGGTCTTTGTCTAGGAGGATTTTTTCTCAGGTGGGCATTGCTGCTCTCAATAGAAGATGGGAGAGTGTTTGCTGCATCTGAGATGCTTCATGCATGAGAGAGGCAGATGTGCAGGTGCAGGTAAGTGTAAAGGTTTTGGTGGTCAGAAACCTCTTCCCTGCATTTCTCTCTCCATCTTGCTTGTCTGAGGGAGAAGGTGAGGGCTCCTTCACCCACGGATCCAGGGAGCAGAGAAGCACCTCCAGCTTTATCAGAGAGAAGAGCTAAAGGGGCTCAGGCCTCAGTATTGCTTCTGCACCCCCAGGACGGGTAGCAGAGGAGGAGGGGCTGCTGCATGGTGTGAGAGCACGAGGAGATGCTGTGGGAGGAGCAGGAGGCATGCATTTCTGCAGAGCTGTAACCGGGCACTCACATCGCTGCTGGGTCTTGCCCTCTGCCCCCCTGCACTATTTCTTCCCCTTCCTTCAAGGCTTGCTCTGCTCTTTGAACAGCTGGGTGTCCAGTCAGCCAGGGGAAGGGATGTAGATTAACACTGAGCCCAAAGAGGAGGGAAATGTTAGGGATAACAGGACAGAGGTGCTAGGGAAGGTGTTGGCTCCTGCCAGTGCTGGATGCAGCTGTTGGGAGCATGTAAAACTGTTTTAGAGACTGGAGGGAAAGGTCTGTGTTAAAATACTTCTTTACTTAGATGTGTTTTGAGAAAGTGAGAAGAGAAAGAACATCCACCATAGGGTGGTTCCCAGCAGGGCCATTGGACTGCCCCCAGAGTCTGTTCTTACCTGACAGGCTGCCCACCAATGCTGCCATTGCCTGTGTGTCCCTGTAGCTACTCGGGGTGCTGTCCCCTGTCTGCTCACATTTCTCACTTGATGTCCTGTGTTTAAAGATATGCAAATGGTTCCTCCTGCTTCTTCTCCTGGCAATTGTGCAAGACCCTGAGTTCTTTAAGGATAGAATAATCCCTCACTGTCAGTAAGATTCCCACTGGCAGGCTGGGAAGCTATCCACCTTTCCAGGGAAGCTCGCAAAATCACTTGTAACAGTGCTGCCTTATGCAATCCATGCTTTCCCTGGCAGCCAGGTGCTTCCTCACCTTCCTGGCCAGGAGCTGCCTCATCATCCCCCTCCCCACTGGCACAGTTAGTTTCCCTTCCCGATCATCCACTAAAATTATTCAAGTGGAGTTGTTCTGCCTGCTGGTAGGTCCCGAGGTTTGCTTCCTACAGCTTTGCACCCCCTGCCAGTGCTCTTCAAAGAGCTCTCTGAAACTCAGCTCTGAACTCACTTCATTCAAGTGCCCTTTTTATAGCTACCTAAGCAAAGGTCCCCACTTTCCCAGGGCTTTTCTTGGTGCTTTGTGATGGGCACAAATGATCAGCCAGTGGGTCAGTCTCAAGGTCACAGCAGGGAAACCTTCTGGCACTTGATGATCAGACAGACATGCACAGTCCTGGACATGGGCAGGTCAGGATCTGAAATTGTGCTGTTCCTCACATGCCTTAACACCAGTCCCTGCAGGAGCAAAACCAGCATTTAAAGGAAATGAGCTAAACCTGTCTTGGCAGCAAACAAAACTTTTGTGAGTCCTTTCTTGCTCTATACCTTCCTTCTCCTCTCTACCTCCCAGGAGTAAGAGATGAGAAGGTTTTGGGACACCCTCTGTTGCTTGAAGCAGGAGAATAATGATCCTGAAGCCATTATCCTATGTGGATCAGGCTGTGCTGGCCAAGTTCACAAAGCAGGACTTGAGGACTGCTTGATACTGAGGCTCCTTGTGCCTGTCTGTGTCTGGAGAGCCACACAAGGAGAGACAGACTGGGTCCAGTTCCTCACCCACACTGGGCTCTGCTGTGGGCACCTGCCAGCTCCTTCATCTGCATGAAGAATGTGAGGTCCTCATGGCCAACACAAGGACGAAGGGACATGGAGCATCATCCCACAGGATCCCAGAGCTTCAGCCAGCAGCTGGGAAGCCAGAGGAGCACCTGGGAAAGGATCTGCTGACCAACAGCCCTCAGGTGGCCTTGGTGCTCTTATCAGAGATGCTGTGAGTGATGTGGGCCAAGGGTAGGGACAGAGCACAGGCACTGTTACAGCCAGGGCTGGGTCTGGCACCAGGCTCTAACACTCACCTGTGGGTTTGGAGCTGCATGTCCATCTGGGACAGGTATTATTCCTGGCCCCCAAAGCCTTAGCTGGGATAAGGGCAGGACAGCTCAGGATGCAGCAGGATAATGACAGCAAATGCCACATTGCCAGAAGCAGTGAGGGCTGGCACAGATATTCCAGCTACAGCAACCCAGGGGCCTGCCTGGGCCTGTCCCTACCATGTGCTCAGCACCCCCACCCTCCAGGAGTTCATCCTACTGATTTGGTGGGGTTTTGTCTGACAGAGCTGGGAGCTGATGTTCAGCTGTGATCTCTGCTCTCTCATAGTTCCTGCTCCTGCACCATGTGAAAGATGTTGTGTGGTCTCAGAACGTGGGATGCCTCAGCCTCCATGCCCAGCCTGGCTTTAAATTAAGGTGTTGAAGCTCTCGGAATAGTCTGGTCTCCTTCTCTACTCCTGCACTGGGATGAGTGACCCGGGGCAGGGCAGCTGGCTCAGGCCTCTTTGGTCCATCACAGGGCTCTTGGAGCAGGGCAGGGACAAGCCTGATCCTGTGTGTCACATCCAGTGGACATCTCCAGCCTCTCTCTACAGATGCTGCGCTCCTCTAGAGGTTTTGCTTTTTACTTGCACTGAGGAAAGGGAGATTCTTTTCCAGGAGCCCCTGAGAGGCAGCACAAGGAGATGTTTTATGCAAGATCACAGCAAGGTGTTCAGGTCTGTCTCCTCACAACATGTGAAGGTTAAAGGCAGGCTCTCAGCTTTCCTCTGCTAATGACAGAAAGTGCTTTGTGAGTGAGAGAGAGCATAATTAGGGATTAATGAGAAAGGAGCCTGTGGTTTTATTACCCGTTGGACATCAGTCCCGTGGATGAACAAGAGAGGTTGCATTACCTGCTTCCTGCTGAGTCCTTCCAGCAGGAAAGTCCTTAGCAGACTTTCTGCATCATTTAAAGACAGGAGGTAAAGGAGGGCACTGCAGGCAAGGAGTGCTGGGGCTTGGTGTCCTCTGCTGCAGGCTGGGACAGGCCCCAGATCTGTGGCCCCACGGGGGGACTGTGGACCTCGGGGCAAAGACCTTGGGCTCTACTCTTGGCTCTGCCCACTGCTCACACACCTCCTGCATCCCAGGCGGGTCAGCAGGACTGGAGACATCTCCTCAGGTTGTGCCCAGTGGCAGCCACAGCATGCCAGGAGAGGCACAGTCCAGGTGCAAAACAGAACATATCCCACCACTTTGGGATGAGCCTTCTGCCCTGCTTCAGCCTGAATCCAACAGTGAGGGGAGCTGGAAGAGACCAGATAAAGACAGGAATAAAACCAGGCAGGTTAAACACCTGATCTTGAATTAGCCTCATCATTCCTAGCCACTGCATAAAAGCTATTAAAGTTATTACAGGACATGCTGGATGCTGGCACAGCAGGAACAACAAATATCAGTAGAGTGGTCCTTGTCATAAATATCACCCAAGCTGTCTTGACAGCCCTCTGCCATCCTGACGCTGCTCGCAGCCAGCCTGGCTGAGCGGTGCCAAACCATGGGTGCAGCTGATGGGAACGGCTCCTTCTCTCTCTCAATGACACAAGGCTTGCATCCTCAAGCAAAGAAACCTCCTGCTGTGGGGCAGACCTGCTTTCCCTGGGTCCTCTCCACAGGGATCTTGCTGCAAGTGCCACAAGGAGCCAGAGGCCAGGATTTGAAAACCGTGGCACAAAAAGAAATCA